TTTCAACAAAAACAGTTTCTATCGACATTTTATTATTATAGTACCAGATGAATAGGGATGAAATAGTACAGAAAAATAGAGTTTTGTTTTTTCTATCATTTCATAAAAATAGAAAATTTCCCAAAGCCTTCTATACGACAATAAGGTACTTCCGCCACTACTTTTGGGTACCCCTCAGTAAATTCAAGTAAAACGGCACATTGAAGCATATTTTGAAGCGAGAATATTATATAGGTCTGGAACATTTTTATTTCCGACCATCTAGCATAACTTTGATCAGTTAAAATTTTTATTATCAGATCCGCTTTCGCTTATACACCATTTGATAGAGCAAAGCAAGAGTGATAAACTGGTATATAATTAATTTGGTTTTGAGTTGGTCCTGGTATTAGAAATACTCGAAAACTTTTCTATATACAAAAAAGTTACTTTGTTTTTACCATTAGTTGAGAACAGGACGTACGATTAGCGGGAAGAAGCTAGGGAATTCCCCCCCCCCCGCCCCCCATAAGATGTTTTTTTTCTTGTTTAGCTTTTTCTCTGAAAATTTTTCGAGCAATTAGCATTTTTTCATATTTTGATAGGCGAAATGAGCTTGTACAATTGAACTAGTTGTTTTCTCTAATCCAAAACAATTTCTTTTAATACCGAAATCAAACGAAAGCTATGGTTGAAAACATGTGAAATAGGTAAAAGTATCAAAATTTAACTGTGCATTTTCAACTCCAACGTTTTTACTATTCATATAATCGACTTCAGTTTTATCGGATTATAGCTTAAACGTCATTTATAACATACATATTTTCAATGTCTGTCTAACTTGATATACGCTTTCTTCAGCTCTCAATAATATCTTACGACTCTCTAAGTAACAACCTTGAGAAAAAAGGCAGGAAAATAGTTTTTTCATTGCGTTTATTATTGTTCTTCTTTTTGATATTTTTTATTCTTACAATTAAAAGTGAACTAATAGACTTAAACAATGTAAGTTCTTTCAAATTGACTTGAAAGCTGAAATATGTCTCAGCATGATATGAAGGAAAAGGTTTCTCAGAGTTACATTTCTCATAGGTTAAGTACTCTCACAAGAGATTCAATCCGTCGGATTCAAACTCGAAAGTGCATTTTACAATATCGAATCAATGATGTATAAGACTGACCACTTATCGTCTTTTTAAGAATCAGGTCTTATTTCCTTCAAGTTCATGGCCTTATTCTCCCCTATTCAATATTAATACGACTAACTCTCTGATAAATGTCAATTTAGCTCGGTATGTATTTCATTATCATATTCTTTGTACTTCTACTAATTTAACTATACAGATATATATTGAAAATTAGTCTACAAAGTGGAGGATATATCTGAGATTTATTAAGCTATATCAGTCAACAGTTGCAGTAACCAATCAATTACAAAAATAATAATACATATATGAGTCAATTTTTAGATGTTGATGTCTCTGGTATTGTTGCTGAAGCCGAGACAAACGCCAGCGGCTATGCTTCTGTAATTCCGGCAGATTGCCCAAATAAATTATTATTGTCGGTACGTTCCGCTAATTTTTTTTGTATGGTATCAACGATTGATTGAAAATCCTTATACTCTTCACTGTATTTTAATACTATTTCAGTACTTTCATGAAATGTAAATCTCTGTGCAATAAATTCATTCGCTAATTGTTCAACAGTGTTATTGCCACGATTATTCATTATTGTGCGAATATCAGCATCATCAGACTGTAATTTCTTCAAGAGACCGGGTTCAACACGAGCTTTTTCTTGTCTTTTTTATTCATATTCATTCCAACTGACAACATCTTCTTGATCGAGTATAATTTGACCTTTTAACAAAGTGTAAGTTCCATCATAGACTATTCCAAGTAACTTTGCATTAGGCTGATTACTACTGAATACTAACCATGCGAATTCATATTTGGTATTAGGAATTGATAAATGTAATCCAACTCGATTATTCGATTCATGATAAATTTGAATAAATAGTTTTTCTGGAGAATCATCAGGTTCAGTGGAATTAGATTTCAGTTGTTGAATAATATTTATAGCTGAATCTGAGTCGATAATCATTATAAGACCACCAAATAATCTTTTTAATGAATAATCATCGTCAGAATTGCTATTATCAATGTCTAATAATTGATTAATCTCAGATTCGAATTTATAATGATGATGCCAAGACCAATCATATCGATTTATATAAATAATACTATGATCATTATGGGATTGATAAAGAGATTTACCAAAAGCAGCACAACGTCGTAATATTTCAACTGGATTATGATGAATATTATAGATAATATAGCTTGAATGAAATGATTCAGATTCCAAAGTCAATCGAGTGCGATATAATTTAGCTTGCCAACCACCTTTAGCAGCTCGGCATCGATATTGATATGAACATTGTAATATTGTCCCTCCTTCCAATGTTTCAGGTATTGATTGAGGAATATCATATCGATTATGGAGACGATTGAAATAACCTTCACAGATACAATGTAATTGACCCCATAATAATTCACCACTAGGACAATGAAATGATAAGTGATTAGAATTAGATGTTTGATTGGAACGATTACTCATCAAAAAGAATAATACATAAATAATGATAACATGTTTCACCAAGAGAAATCGGAATACAAATGAAGAATATAAAGTTAAAATCAATTCTTCTCAAACTAATATGAAAAAAAAATTCAAAATTTTATTTATTCTAAAAGCACAAATATTCTTCAAAAAGAAAGAGAAATTTCATTGCTATGTCATTTCGAAACATATATGTAATAACAAGAAAGAACAGAGAAAAAAGATAAATAGACCACGTAAAAGATACACACTAGCGAATCATTTCAAAGGTAATCTATTGAAGATAAAGAAAGAGAAAAACGATTGAAAAGGCATGGTATAATTCTCCTTGTAAGCGATCTGATCATATCAGTAAGTCTGAGGAATAGATTCTTATAATATCATGAGTTTTATTATGTTCTCTTACTCTAATCTTACTTTACTATATGCAGGTCACTGTCTAGCTTTACTTTAACTTACGAAGATCATGTCTTCATTCTATCATAATCTACAGAAATAACTTCAATGTTTTTGATAAAGGTGCTGCTTAGCATTGTGATAAAAATATTTTTGAGGTCGGGTCTGTCAGTTAAGAATAATTTTAAATGCAAAGCCGAAATAACATTAAATCGAATCTAAAGTATCCTTTATTTCAAAACTTCATTTGATACAAACGTTAGTCAATCAACGACTGAAAAGTCAAGAAACTAATAAAGATAGCTACAAACTGAACTTCTCAATAGTTTGTTTTATTCGAGTGCAATTTCAGAAAAGCATTTTATTCAATGTATCAGAACAAACAAATACGATATAATGAATGTATTTTTAAATGAGTCAATTGACAAAAACTAAAGCCATAGGAGATATATTGATAGGTTTTATATAGAATATTATCATTATCTTAAAGATATTGCCGACAAATAAAAAATTTAAATCCTTTTCTGCATTTTTCGAACATACTTCCTAGTTTTTCATTTTCCTTCTCCTATATATTTTCAAGCATTTAACGTTGTATAGTATTCATTTTGCTTTTAAACATTAACATACCATTGATAAAATTCAATTTTCAAACTCAAAAGTCTTATTGTCAACGAATTGAAAAGAAACTTTATTATTATTAAAAATAAAAATAAGTTTTGGACACATAATAGGAATGCGCCGATCTCAACTCCAACCAATTCCAATGTTTGACTGGAAATTGACGGAATTAGAACTGGAATTGGAGGAATTGAAATTGGTTAGAATTGGCTTGAGTCACCTAAAAATCGTATGAAAGGGTGTGGGTGTGGGTTTGGGTGTGCATTTAGGTACTCTCTTCCTTCATGCACACATCCACACCCACACCCACCCACCAATACCCACACCCCGAATCTTCTTTTCCTCCTCAACCACCATTAACCCTTCTACTTAGAAAACGTCATCTATTATCATTTAGCTCACTGCATTGAAAACAAAAGTTAGAAAAACCACAAAAAGTAAACCAAATAAAAAGAATTATTTATTCTCTCGTGCATATTTTTCCATGGCTTGACCAATATCTGCTGCACGACGGGTGTCTTCTTCACCGTTTTGACGTAATTCTGCTCGGATCCTTTCCATGATAAGACCATTCCAATCATTCCAAAAAGGCGATGATCGTGTAAAATGAATAGGTCCCGTACCTGATTCTAATAGAGCTTTTCTTAATTCTTCATTCTGCTGAAATTTTGCCAAGTTTCCTTTATACATTTCATCAACTTTAACTGTTTCCCAATCTAGTCGAAGTTGAATCGTTTGTCCAGCTAGTCGACATGAATTACCTGGCCCTGAATTTAAGATCTTTTTTCGATCTTGCTCATTTGTTGTTTTAGCACATTGAAAATAGTTTTCCGCAGATAAATATGTTATTCCGTTGATAACAAATTTACATGGAAGAAAATTATCCGTTTCTGGATGCTCTTTGCCATCAATTATACCAGGACCACCCATTTAGAGTCTAGAAAGATGTTCGTATTAAAAAACCTAATGAGAAAATGGACGCCTACTCCATACATTATATACTTTTCTTTATCTATCTAGACTTACTAAATAATGCGAAAGAAAATTCCAAAGAAACTCTGATAAGAGCCAAATGACTCACCTGTGAGACTGAAGATAGTAATAAGCAAACAGTTATCACAAAGTATACACATTTATTGACTCATTTTAATATAAGTACGATTGTGTAATAATGTCTGCATCAACATTTTCTCGTGCAAGATCGACTCGAAATAAAACAGATTATTCGGTACCCTTCAAACAGGGAGAAGCATAGCACATACTTTCCTTTGTTCTGTCTTGTCGCATTACTTTATCGCCCTGATGTGCGATCCGGAAAAACTTAAGCTATACGTCAGACATAAACAAATACAAAAGTCCTTCGTGAAAGTGAGGGTAACCAAGAATTACTCCCTCACCCATCCTCAACATATAACTATTCTACTATCTTGAGCATGGTGGGTGGGCATGGACGATCATCTGCATGTCACTCTCATCTCACTCGCCCGTGAAATTAATTTGTTGGTTTTCTGGAGCGTGCTAGAACCGCCACATGAAGAGCTAGAAAAATATGCAAGGACCCTATTTCTAACAACTACCAATAAGGTATTCTAGCTGTTGGAATGCAATTTACCACACCAATTTTTCAATAAAATAAGAAAAAAATGGAAGTTTTGTAGTTTTTTTGATGAAAAATCGCTTTTTGAACGTCTGAGAAAAAAAAGCAATTTTTTTTTGAAAATATCTGACTAAAGCTTTTAGAAAAGTAGTCCGAGAAGTCCTTTCATGTATAGTTCGATGCATCTTCATTTCCTCTTTTCAATGGTGAAAACTGCATATCTCTAAGTCAATCTGTTCAAAAGTTCTTCAAAAAATATCCGCCCGCTTTCTTTTCTGAAATGGGTCTTACATTGCTTGCCCACGATATTCATTACAATACGAATAAAAACTAATTTCAATCATGAATCTTAACGAGTACAAATATCTTGAAAAGAAAGATCATCGATTCCAGACTGAGACACAATCCCAGGTTGAAGTCCCACGATCATTTACTAATGTCCACGTCAACCAACGACCAGAACCGATCGTCTTTTGTCGTTTTCAGGTTCTGTATTACGATCGTACATCATCATGCCCCGTAAACGATCATCGAGGTCGGCTACGTAGATAAACGGCCGTAGGTAGGCTACTGACGCTTCAATATCGTATCCTAAATATGATTGAATAACAAACAAAACAATGATTTCGTGATACTGTTAGTGAGCTTATGAGCACTTCACGTTCAGAAAACGACCGTAAACGAGTCGTCAACAAACGATCGTAATACGGGGTGTGGGTGTGGGGTAGGTGTAGGCATCGTTGATGTTCTTCCTCCCTTCACACTCACTCTCACAGTCATGTCCATGCCCACACCCTCAAGCAATTGATAAGTTATTACTTTAGCGGTAATCGAGACCGGTCTTGGTAGCTTTTTGATTGATTTTAATCTAAGAATCTCTTTACATAAAAGCACCCACACCCACACCCCACATCACACACCTCACAAGTAAATAACAAGATATTGAGTCTCGGAGATGAAGAAAGACGAATATTAAATTATGAATCCAAGTTCGTACCAGAAAATCCAAAACAGGCCTTAGAAAGATTAGAAGATGAGATTAGAACAGTAAAAGAAAAATTAGCTGAACCTTGGAGAAGAGAAACCCGAACAATAGGAAGAAACCCAATATTAGTTGAGAAATTTGCTGATAGACTAGAAGAAGAATTAAGAGAAAAAATAAACCAAGGAAAACGACAAGACCCAGTAATAGAAAAGGCCTTAGAACATTTTCAGAAGGAACAAAAAAATGGTAAGATAATTTTCAGACAAACAGATAAATCCAAAGTATTCCACGCAGATAGGCCTGAGACATATTTAGAAAAATCTATAGCTTACATGAAGAAGACAGATGTTTACCAAGAGATATAAGAATCCCCATTAAATAGTATGATAGAAAAGACAGAAGAATTATTAAGAAATTTAGTCAATAGCAAATCGTTACCCGGGAAATATTTTGAAAAATTGAAAGCAAACCCAATAGATGCCAAGTTACCCCACCTTTATTATAATCCAAAAGATCATAAGATAGGAGAGCCACTTAGTCCAATTGTTTCGGGAATGAAATCATCAACACAAAAAAATCTCGGCTTTTCTTAATCAAATTATTCGACCCATTTTTGATAGATTAACCCCATATAGTTTGAGAAATAGTATAGAACTTTTAAAAAAATTCAAAAAAACAAGAAACAACAGGCCAGACTCTTTCATATACTTTTGACATTACGGATTTGTATACCATGATACCCTAACAAGAATCAATCTTAGCCATTTGTGAGATGTTAGCTGAGAATAAGACAAATAACGTTAATGGAGAGATACCCATCAATACAGTTAGGACCCTCTTTAGACATGTCTTAGAAAATGCATATTTTGCCATTCAGTTACCCGGACAGAAAGTTAAGTAGTATAAACAGATAAGAGGAGGATCCATAGAATCAGAGTGTACCCAAGTCTTAGCCGATGTGTATATGAGAAAGTGGGAAAAACAATTTAAGGACCAGCAGAATAGTGAGGGAGAGTTATACTTTAGATTTAGAGACGACATTTTTATTACCACTAAGAAGAGTAAGGAAGAGATGGATAAGATGTTAGTAGAATTAGGTAAGAAAGATAAGAATATAGGATTAACCTTTGAGACAGGCCCACATGTGGATTACTTAGATGTAAGAGTACAAGTAGAAGTTCCCAACTTTAGAACCAAAGTCTATAGAAAACTAGCTGCCCAACCATATATTTTACCATTTAATTCAGCCCACACTCCCCATGTCATGAAAAATATTCCCTTCTCAGCAATTTTAAGAGCGGTTAGAATATGTTCCCATAGAGAGAATTGAGAAAGGGAGATAGAAAAAGTTAGAATAACCCTTCTTTTGAATAAGTACCCCCCCAAATTTTATAGATAAACATTTTAAGAGATTTTTTGAAACATTAACGGGAGAAAAGGATAAGAAATTACTTCTAAGCGAGAGACATAGTGAGTATAGAGATAAGGTCTTAGAAGAAGGATGGAATAAAAAAGAAAAGCCCGGGATTAATTTCAATAGAGATATTATGCTCTACCTTACGTATACCCCTAGTTTGGCTCGCTTTGTATCTAGATTTCATCAGATTTGGAAGAAAATTTTTGAGGAAACTCCACTTAGTGATATCCCAGTAGTTTTTACCCATAGATTGACGAACAATTTAAAGAGTATATTAGTTCATAAGAAACCCCCAAATGAAGCGATAAAAGCCCTAGTAAGTGAGTTAGAATAGAGAGATGTTAAGGTAGATGAGTGTCCCCGTCCCCCCTTTTTTTCGTTTTCTATTATAGTTTCGTCATTAACATCGACGACAGCAGCGAAGAACCTGGCCGATTTTGTTTTTAGTTCTTCGTTTTGTTTTTTCTGTTTTGTTGTTTTTCGTTCAGTGATAAATCACCTCAATATCACAATATTTTATTTTTGTTTTTTGTTTTTTCATTTTGTATTTCTAACTTTTTGTATATGCGTGTTCTTTTTATTGTGATAGGGTTGAGTGACCAAGTGAGAAGGTCCCTCGCCATACCATTGAGATGGAGTTTTGAGTTTTTTCCATTGAGTTACTCCCTTCTTCGGCACCCACACTATCGAGATAGAGTTATGAGTTAGAATATACTAAGAAAAAGAAGAAATAGATAGAATAGAACGACATCTTTACCCCACCAATGAGAATAATAATCCCCAATAGAATAGAGAATTTTCCCATTGGATGAGTTTAGAGGACAAGATAGGAAAGCAAAGGATAGAGGAATGGAAGAAAAGAATAAATAGTCATTCATAGCCTGAAAAATATTCGAAACGTGTCGCTGCTGCTTATTACAAATTTACTTATTATTTATTATTTAATCGTTATTTATTGTTAAAATTAAATAAAATTACATTAAAATTTATTCAAAAAGAAGTTTGCTCTCGTAAACTCTCAAAAAGATTCTTTCTAACCTAAACATAGCCAAAATTCAATTTTTCTTTTTCCTTTATTCATAAAATAGAATTTATTTATTTCTTTTTCATTTTCAAAAAAACAAAAAACATTTATTTACTATTTCATTTATTTATTCACATATTTACTCACGTATTTTTTTAAAAAGCTCTTAATGCAAATTTAGCACTTTCATTTTCATATAAATCTTTCTTAAACAAAAGGGTGCACATTTTCTCTTTACTTATTTCATATATATAAAAAAAACAAAAAACAAAAGTTCTTACTTATTCATTTATTTATTCAATTTCTCACAAATTCAATAAAAACTTATTCATTTTTCCAAAATCATATTATACTGAGTCATTTACTTTAAATTCAATAAAATCTTTTCATTTTTTCAAATAGATCATCTCAAATTTAATAATCTTTCTTAAATTCACCTAAATTCAAAACTTTTCAATAAAATATAGTTAAATCTATTTGAATTTATTCAAATCGATCCAATTCAATAAGATTTTCTTCGATTCACCTAAATTCAAAACTTTTCGACAAAAAATTCATATATTTATTTACTTCTCTCAAATTTTTCTCAAGTTTATTTAAATTCAATTTTTTCTCTTAAAATTATTTAAAACCAGTTCGTTTTTCTTCAAATTTCAATAGAATACTAAAACAAACTAAAAACATAAAAATTTGATAAAATTCAAAACAAAAAAACTAAATAGAATATAAAACTAAACAAAAAAAGAATTTATTTATTTCTTATTTATTTATTTAATCATATATATATTTTTTTTCTCTATTGATACATTTATTTATTTATTATTCGGTCTTCTCGTTTTTTGTCATACCACATTGTTAATTCAAAATTACATTTAAAATCCCACTACTGTTCTTAAACTGTGTAACT